AAGGACCGGGAAGTCAGCCGATTCCCGAAGGCAGAGGGGCCTGCAGGGTTGTGCCTTCGTCCCAGGACTCCGCGCCCCCTCTCCCTCGCCCCTGTTCCTCCCCCTTCCCTCCATGCCAGCCGACTTGCTCAGTTCAGGGCCTGGTACCTGAGCCCCGTCTGCTCCCGGGGGTGCTGGGGGCGTTTTGCTGTCCCTGCTGCCGGGATGGCTCTTTCTCGTCGTTAACACAGGCCCACTCTGCCCATCCTTCAAGATTCAGATCCGACGCTCCCCCCCACCCCCGACTCCAGGGCATCTGTTCGGCTCCAAGGCTCCCTGGAGCGCCCCCATCGGCCTCCTCTGGGAGGAGGGGGAGGCACCGGCAGAGTTGGATTCTTTCCAAAGGGATCCTGGGCGCCCATCAAATTCTCCCAGGGTCTCAAACAGGCATCAGGGGGCCTCAGGCCTCACCGCTCCCCACCCCGCCCATGCCTTCTTTTGGCGAGAAGGCCACTCTCCCTGGGCAAAGCTGAGTGGCCCCTGGGTTTCCTAGCAGATCCCTGACTTCCTATTCTCAGCACTGGGCTGATTTTCATTTACAAAAACCAGCTCTTGGGGCCAGCCTGGTGGCGCAGTGGTTAAGTGCGCACGTTCCGCTTCGGCGGCCTGGGGTTCACCGGTTCGGATCCCGGGTGCGGACATGGCACCGCTTGGCAAGCCCTGCTGTGGTAGGCGTCCCACATATAAAGTAGAGGAAGATGGGCATGGATGTTAGCTCCAGGCCAGGCTTCCTCAGCAAAAAAGAGGAGGATTGGTGGCAGTTAGCTCAGGGCTAATCTTCCTCAAAAAAAAAAAACCAAAAACCTCAACTCATGGGAGTACTTAATAATTCACACACTAGTAAATATCTAGCAACTGCCCTTAAAAGTACGATGTCAGCATTCTCAGTGTCCACAAACAGCCTGGGTGCTGGCGTAGGGTGACTCAGCGCTCCTAGGAGCACGAGGGCCATCCGGTGGCAAGGCGGAACCCGGTGGTCTGGAAGCTGCAGGCCTGCCTTGGGGCCCAGCTTTCTCACCCTGTGACCCGTGTCTGCAGGCTCCTGTCACCTCCCTCAGCCCTAAGGGGAGAGGCCTGATTTGCCCGCAAAGTCCCTGCCAGCTTCCTTTGGCCAGTGGACGCAGCAGGCAATGGCCTCCCATGCCGGCTGGGGGCTCACCGTCTGCCCTCAGCAAATCTCTTGAGGAAGCTGGGGGCTGGGGCGGTCAGCCTTGGGCTGGGAGAAAGCAAAGGTGCACGCCAGCTTGCCTGCTCCTCCCTGGGCCCCGAAGCCAGCTGTCTGCAACGCACTCGCCAGGGTTCATTTGCCACTGGGTGTTTCACCACCTCATGCTCCCAGCTGAAACTTGCACCCCTCCCAAGGGCGTGTACTCCACCGACCGAAAGTTCATTCACTTTCTTGCAAACATAGTGAAATCAGAAAGTCCGAGGCTTGGGCCCAGAAGTGTAAAAATGATTGATGTATTGATCAGGATACAGGCGAGGCTGCTAAGCTAAGAGACCCCAAAAGGGAGCAGCTTAAGCCAGGTGGTCGATTTCTCTCTCGCAGAGGAGCCCGGGTGGGCAATCCAGGACGGACGCAGAGGCTCAAGGGAGCTGGCAAGCCAGGCTCTCCCCGCCCCTGAGGGTTGCCCTCGGTCTACAGGGCCCGAGCTGACTCATGTCCTCGTCTCTGTTCCAGCCTGCGGAAGGAGGAGAGCGTGGGGGGGAGCTCACAGCTTCCCTTTCAGAGGCAGGACGTGGCCGTTGCACATAACACTTCTGCTCACAGAGCTGTCACACTGCACACGCCTGGGCAGCCCCTTCACGTGTGTTCCATGCCAACAGCACCCCGGAGACACCGCCGAGGACTGCCCACAGCCCACTGGCCAGGGGATCACGTGGCCAGAGGTAGTCAGAAGGAAGCCGGGCAGCCTCAACCGTCTCTCTACAAACTAAAACGGCCGCTCTCAAAGTGTGGGTTCTGGAGGTCCAAGAGGTCAAAATGATTTTCAAGATAACACTGAGGCCTTAATTGCCTTTTTGCCTCTTGTTCTCACGCGAGCATACCATGGAGTTTTCCTAAGGCTCCAGGACATGTGCTGACACCGTCACTCTGAGAGCTAGTGGAATGTCCCCTTGGATATTCTTGTGTTTTAAATTTTTCCTCCGTTTTAATTTCTAAGGCAGGAAAAATCAATAGATGCAACCCATATCAACAAAACCCCTTCGGCGTCCCCAATAACTGTTAAGATATAAACGGACCCTGAGACCAGTGTACGAACTGCTGAGCTAAGAGATGAAAACAGATATTGGGCAGCCAGGCAGCAGAAATCGATGTCACAACGAGAAACCTGCAAGAATGCCTGGGAGTTCAGAGCCTGCCTCTTAGAACTTTGGGAATAGACATTGCTCGCAAGTGATGGTCCTAGTCACTGCCACAGGGATTCAGGACCATGCCCGGAGCCCAGCTCTCCACCTGTGTTTTGTTATTTAATCCTCGCGGCGGTCCTGGGGCAGTGTGGCCCAGTGGGAGTATAATCCACTGTTAGCATAAGGCTGAGCTGGGTTCACATTCCGGGTGTGCCACTTCCAAATTGTGCTCCCTTCTTTTGCAGATTACTCTGAACCTCGGTTTTCTCATCTTTCAAATGGGGGTGATACCCCAGGGGCCTGTCATCAGGAGTAACTGGGAGTTCCAGAAAATAGTTTTCACAGTCCTAAAGCTGCAGTTCCTAAAGTGGTCAGCCCCGGCCGGGCGCTGGGGAGGTGGATGGGGAGAGAATTTCCTGGAGAGGGGAGAAATACCACTCTCAGGCTCACCCACTTTCCATGCCTCCCCAGGGCTCACTCTGGCATTCAAGGCCCTCTGACATGGCCTCAACTCGCCTTACAAGACAGCTCTCTGAGCCACTTTTGAATTCTGCTGAGTCTGATTTTCCTAAGCAAAGGGTCTTCCCCTTAAGAGCAGGCCCCACTCTGTCAGCCTCACAATCACGTCGTCTGGGGAGAGGAAGAGGCCGGAAGCGGGCCCATTAACCACGCTCTCCCCAACGAGCATTTGTAAACACATGCTTTCTTTATAACATCAGCAAACAGAACATGTTTTCCTACTTAACAGGAAATGCAGCCGAATGGCTGGGTTCCCCCACGGCGGCCCCAGCCCTCACATGCATGCGGCACATGCAGCTAAGACAAGGCTGGTGACCAAGGAGGGGGCATGACCAAGTCCCTCTGGCTTGCAGGAGAAGTCCCCAGCAGTTTGCACATGTTGGGAGCCCCCTGCACTGGCCAGGCGAGGGTCCCCCCTCTTTCCAATCCTGCCTTTGTCTCCTGGCAGCCGGCCTGCTAACACTGGAAGGTCGCAACGCTTTCCCTGGAGCTGGAGTCAGACCGGCCCATAGGCAAAGAAATGCATTTCTAAATGCCTTCACTGTCACAAGATCTAGAATGTCAACACTGACCGTGCAGGGAAGCCCAAGGGCTATTGTCAGGAGCCGCAGCCAAGCCTCAGAATGACACAACTGTACCAGAACACTGAACGGTATGAGGAATTAAAAAAAAAATCCCGTCCTCCTCCTCCCCCTGGGGGAGGGGGCTCCGCGTGGTAGGCGGCGGCCGGCCATTCATGGCGAGGGGACCGAGGCCCCACGCGGAGCCGAGAAGCTCCGCGGCCGCTGATTGGGCCTCGCGGCCGGCGGCTCAGCCAATCCGCTGCCTCGGACGCTGGGCCATTCATGAAAGCCGCGCGGAGAGGAAGCCGGAGAGGAAGCTGGGGGCGGGGAGCGCCGGGTTATCACTGGGCCTCGCGGGCCCCCATTGGGGCGGCGGGGCCTTCAGTCCTGACCCTCCTGCCGCCTGCCCAGCGCGGGCCCCTTGCAGGGAAGGCCCGCACTAGAGGCTGAGGAACAGACCAGGCTTTCTGGAAGTGCCTCCCAGGCAGGACCTGGCAGCCAAACGCTGCCTCCTTCAGTCAACTGTGGCCATGAAGTCATTTTTTTTTCCCCCTGCTGATTGAAATCATCTGTTTTCAGTTCCCTGACAAATTCATTGAGTTCCCTCTGCGGCTGGGGCCCCTCGGCTGCAATCTGCATCTATAGCTGGGGCCCAGGCCCACACAATTTCATCTTCTTGGATTCACATGAGCTCTGGTTTCCAGGGACCCAGGGAAACACACGTTTGTGTGGGTGATGGCCGGTGGGCTCTAGCAGCCCTGGACCCAGCAAGGATGCTTCTCAAAGGGCTATTTGCCGGCCTGGCCATGGTCCCCCCAGCCCTGGGCTTCTGAACTTCAAATTCCTGGGTTCCCGGATGACCGTTGCCAAGGAAAGGCCTAGAAAGCCATGCGTCTGCTCTTAAAAGGGAAATGGCCAAGTGGAATGTCAGCCTCATCTGCCTGCAGAATGCGCCCCTCGTTTCCTCTCGTAGCGTGTGGTCAGCAGCTGGGAGAGGGGGCAGGTCTGCTTTTGCACTGAGCCATGCAGAAGCACGCTAACTGGCACGCTGACTCCACCTCTCGCCTCCTCTCTCAGCCTCAGCGTCCTCCTCTGTACAATGGGGGGGTGAGAACACACAGCCCTCAGCCACTGCGGGCATCGAGTCAGATAAGGAAGGCAGAGGCCTGGCATGTGGTGAGAACTCAGTCGCTGACATCGGTTGTTGGTGGCGAGGTCAGCAGTGACTGACCTAGAAGGCCAAAGAGAGGGTCAAGTTCCATTTCCCGGCGCCAGGGTCACAACATAGAGCCTGCAGAGAGCGGTGGGCTCTGGAGCCCTGGGTCCGCCCCTCGTCAAATTGCTGACACCCCCAAGGACACACTGGAACCACTAGGAGCAGGAGCGCTGGGGGAATTTTTCTCAATGGAAAGATTTCTTCCCAGCAAGTGTTTCACAAGCCCCTCCTGGGCTGTTGATAATGAATGTTGCCTTCTTGACTTCCAAGTGTGTTACATAAGCCTAAGAGGTTGGTTTTAAAAAAAAAAAAAAGCAAGTATGTAGCTGGAGATAGCGGCCCGGCAGGTTCTGCAGCTGTTCAAACTTTCGCCACCTTCCCAGGCCCAGAGGACTCCCTGATCTCGGGCCTGTCAGAACTGTGCTGCGGAATGTGAGGTATGAAATCCGGGGAAGGGGTGCCAAAGAAGCCAGCTCTGCAGAGCCGGCCGAATGCAGGCCCCTCGCACAGGCTTTTCCGAACAGCCAGCCCCCCCCCCCCCTCCTCCAGGAAGCCCCCCAGATTTCACCCCAGCAGCTTTCATGCTTGGCGTGGGCAGAGAAGGGTGTCCCCATCCCTGTCCCCTTCACTGTTGGCTCTGCAGCATGAGAGGGTGCACACTTGGGGATGGGGAAACCAAGGCCGGTGGACGGGGCATGGCAACGGCTGCCTTCCGTGGCTGGTCCCTCCGGAAGCCACGTGAGCCTGGGAGGTGGGCACCGCTGAGAGCAAATAAAGGAAGCAGAAGAGGACCCGGGCTGAGTGGGGAGGCCAGGTTTCACCGCTTCTCACTTCTGCTCTGGGCCGAACGGCCTTCTCTTTTCATCTGTTTTCTCCAAGGTGTTGGGCTGGGAAGGCCCACGGGTTTCTAATCAGGCTCTGCACTCTGCCTTCAGCGATGCAAGTAAAACTTAAAAGTGCTTAGTGACCCATTTTCGTGTGGGGTCAGAGGCCTGCTGAAGCCCCAGGCGACTTCAGACTGGTCACTTACCTCCCTGGCCTTCCTTTCTCGTGTGCAAAATGGAGACTATAACGGACACTCAGCAGCCAGCCAGGGAAAACAGGTCAGAAAAGCTTTAAATGCCATGCAAATAGAGGGTATTGTAAAGTGTTCTAGCACATGGCGTGGCCTTCAGAAGTTGTGAGCGTCATTCGAAAGTGTATTGGTCAGAACGGGCTAGGTCGTGCTGCGGTAACAAGCAGCCCCCGGATCTCGATGAATCAAAGCAGGGTCAGCCAATATTTTCTGTACATACTTTAGGCATCGGGGGCCCTACGGTCTCTGTTGCAACTCCTCAGCAATTATCGTAGCACGAAAGCAGCTTCAGATGGAACACCAACGAATGGGCCGTGTTCCAATAAAACTTTATTGACAAAAACAGGTGGTGAGCAAAATCTGGCCCACGGGCTGTGGTTTGCTGATCTTTGGCTTAAAATCACAAAGGCTTTTTTTCCCTTATGCCACACCTGCTCGATGCCGGCTCCAGGGACGCTGATGATGGAGGGTCCGTCTCCAGCCACACCTCCACCATCCTGGAGACCAGACCCAGGGGCTGGTTCTCACACCTTCTGCTCACCGGACACCTGAATCCTTGTGCTCGTGTTTCATCGGCTAAGCAAGTCACGTGGCCACAGCTGACGTCAAGAGGGATAAGGTCACTTCGACCTTTTGCCCAGAGAGCAGAGAGCTGGAACTCATTAGTCTCCAACCTCCCAGACGAGAAGACCTCATTTCTGGTCCCCTCCTCTGCCACCGGCTGACTCTGACTCTCGAAGTTCCTCTCACGTCTCTGCCCCTAGTTCCCCACCTGTAGAAACGAGGCATGTTTTCTAGATTCCTCTCAAGCCTGGGAGTGGCACCACCGTTGTGGACCCCACTTTTCCCAACAGAGGACGATGATTTTATTTCCACTGCGCATCCATGGCGCAGAGACAGGGTGTCACTCAGGCCGGGCAGCTCACTTCAGGCCCCAGCTGCCTAGACTGAGTGCCTGAGTCCTCCCCAAACTCGTATGCTGGAGCCCTCCCCTTCAAGGTGATGGCATTAGGGGTGGGGCCTTGGGGAGGTCATCAGGGGTACATGAGGTCATGAGGGTGGGGCCCCCACCGTGGGATCAGTGCCCTCATAGATGAGGAGGAGACAGCAGCTCACTCTCTGTGTGCATACACCAAGAACGGTCACGTGAGGACCTAACCAGGAACAGGCCGTCCCTGAGAATTGAACCCCATCAGTACCTGGATCTTGGACTTCCAGCCTCCAGAACTGCAAGAAATAAATATTGGTTGTTTAACCCCCCGTCTACACTCTTGCGTTATAGCTGCCCAAATGGACTAAAACACCAGGATTTGGGAGTTCTTCCAAACACCCCAAGTTGTTTTGTCTTTGTTTTTAGTATACTTTTTTCGTGAGGAAGATTGGCCCTGAGCTAACATCCATTGCCAATCTTCCTCTTTTTTGTTCTCCCCAAAGCCACAGCACATAGTTGTATAGTTGTATATGTTAGTGGTAGGTCATTCTGGTTCTTCTATGTGAGACACCACCACAGCACGGCTTGATGAGGGGTGTGTGGGTCCATGCCCAGGATCCAAATTGGTGAGCCCCAGGCCGCAGAAGTGGAGTGCACGAACTTGACCACTCAGTCGTGGGGCCGGCCCCAAACGTCCCAAGTTTTGAACTCCATATTCAACCTTTGCTCTGGGGATGGGATGGTGGGAGCATCGACCGGCCAAGCGTGGCTCTGAGAAGCTGGACGCCGGCTTTGTGTTGGTCCTGGGTGAGACCCCCGGTAGGGACGTTGGGAGGGAAGCTCTGTTTATGGTGAAGGATGGAGCAAACAGAAGAAAACAGACTTTGCTTCTGGCCAGTCATGTGGCTGGTGCAGCACTCGTCCAGGCCCACTCGGACCACCAGGAGGGAGCGAGGGGGGCATCTGATGGGATCGGGGTTCTGCCTCCTTGCTGTGGCTGGGACTGCTCAGACATCTCGTCGCCATGGGGTGTGTTCTCTGCTTTCTGCCTGCACTGACATCCCCCAGGCGTCCCCGTGCCGTCCTCCCACCACCTTCTGCGTGAGGGCTTCCCTGATCGCCTTTTTAAAATCACAGCCCATCCACCGCCCCTGCCTGGCTCTCCCGATGCCTCCACTGTCTTATCTTCCCCACAGCTCTGTCTCCTTGCAAAGGACTTCAGAACTGTCTTGTTTATTTTATGTCTCTACTCTCTAGAATACGGACTCCATCAGGGCAGGAATTTTTGTCCATTTGGTTCCCTGCGTCACCCCTCTCCCGTCCCCCACACCTAGACAAGAGCCCGCCACACAGTAGGTGCCCAATGTACGCTTGCTGGATGAATGAATTCGTGTCACTGAAGCGAGGCAGCCACAGCCTGGCTCTGAGCCGACTTTCAAAGGAGGAAACAAGAGACCCATCCCAGGCACAACCATGCCCAGCAGCTGCCTTGGCAATATCATGGCAGCTCAGAGAAAGCCAACAGCAGCCTGCTCAAAGTGTGCAAACACTTTGCACGCCAGTGCCAAGTCTCTTCGCAGCAGACGGTGTTTGTGGCGTGTCTAGGGGCTCCCCTTCCTTTGCCTCCAAAGAGAGAGCCCCCTGGTTTTGCAGACTTTTGCAGACTTCTCCGGATTTGCCCGCACCCGCGGGCACTCCCAAACAGCCTTCCAGTCCCCCTGACAGACGGAATCCTGGAAGATCAACCTACAGCTCAAAGGGGAGGAGAATGATAAAGAGAGACATCTTCTTGGGTCTGAAGAGACTTATCTTCTAAGGGGGAAATTCAGATTTGGGAGGCAGGATGCGAGAAAAATCACAAAACCCGGTACTTTTGGATGGGCCTGCAAACCCCTTGTTTCGAGAGTGCACTGTTAGAAAGAGGAAAGTCTCTGCGAGCGGAAAGTGGAAATTCTAAACATAGACCAGGAGGTGGGGAAGTGAGAATCTTTCCTCATCCTGCCGAGCCCTCGTGGTTTTCACCCCCATCTCAACCCCATCTCTGCTGCTAACTGACTGTGGCGGGTGGGGCAGGATGCACAGGAGGCGAGCGAGTGCCAGGGACACATGCTGCACCTTTTTTAGAATGAATGCATCAAAAGATGCAGCCTGGTGTGGAAGGTGGGCGTGCACCCAGGTGTGAGGCCCTGAGTGTGGACACCAGGGTGGGCAAGGGGCTGGGTGGCCGACGTGGGCAGCTGCTGTGCCCAGGAGGACCGGGACCCCCCAGCTCCTGCTCGGAGGAGAAAGACCCCATCATCTCTGTTTCCTTTGCTTCAGCTCTGAAAGGCCTGGGCCGCAGACCCCGAGCCCTGTGTGTCACTCCAGACACAGAGATGGACTGTCCCCAGCCCAAACTGGGCTTGTGGCCTTCGGGAAGAGCAGGGCTGTCATGTGACGTGCTCAGTCTGGCACAAAGCTCTGTACACAGGGGCCTGTTGGACTCGTTCATGGGGGGCCGCAGAGGGAACGCCCTGAGGTCTGAGCTAACGCATGGGGACGGTGGTCACAGCCACGGTGACTGTGCCGTCTCGGCTCCCAGGTCTGGCTCAGCGCAGGAGGTGGGGGCGCCCCTCTGCCGGCAGAGGCGGACTTCTGCGGGCCTCCCAGTCAGGCCTTTGTGACAGCTCTTCCTGCCCAAGTCAGAGGGCAGGACGGGATGGGGTCACCCGAGCCTTCACTCCTAAGACTGGCCTCCAAAAATAGGCCTTTCTTCCTGTGTCAAGCCTCCGCCGCGGGCCCTGCAGGAAAATGTATGTTTCCAAGGCGGACGGAGCATCTGGAAGGTCCGGCTGGCCACATGCTCACAGGTCAGGCCACAGCCAAGTGTCCCAAGGCCCTGGGGTGACAGCTGGCCCTCGCTTCCTCTGGGTTCCTGTCCCCTTCATTGAGTGAATAACACACATTTCTGGAGCCTGAGTCAGGGCAGAATCTGAGCGTGCCCCTGGCCATGACCCAGGAGAACCTTCCAGAACTTTCTCTTCTCTCTGCTCTGGGAACCTGCGGCCCCCGGGCCCAGCTCTGGGGCCTGGGCCGCTGCCCTGGGAAGGCCGTCCGCACTGAGAGACTTGTCCGGTTGCCCGGGCGTGAGTCACGGCCGCTCCCGGCAGCGCCCTGCGGATCCAGAAGCTCGAGCCCGTTTCCTGCAGATAAGTGATAAGAGCGGAGACCTGGGGGGGCGGGGGCCGCACGGGCGGCGAGCGCTTCCTTCAAAGCCCCCAAGCACTAATTAGCCATTCCAAGCATAGTTTCAACAGCATTTAGGGATTTCCTCATCAAAATAAACTTCCTCCCATGTTATCTTCGTTTTTGGCATCTGATAGGATCCTTTTTTGGTCTCAATTATTTATTTTTTTCGCTCCAAGACTCAGGGTGAACAGTGCTCAGCCCCGCTGAGAGCGGATGGGCAGGTAAGGACACGGGACGTTTGAAGCGCGGCCAGTAGGCTGGAGAAGCCCAGCCTCCCCACCTCCTCCATTCTCCCCACCTCCTCTGCAGGGGCCGCCTGGCCTCTCTCCCCTGGCCAGTGGCTTGTTTTGGTCCATAGCCCCTTGCTCTGGGGAGGTTGTGAAGGAGGCCAGCTCGGTGGGGCCAGTGGGGCTGATGGGGCCCCCCGCAGTGTCCTGCCTCACCTCTTCTTAACTCCTCGACTCCAGGGCCAGGCCACCCCTCCAGGCTGGGCTCGCCCATCCACCCTGTAAGCCTGACACTTAAGGCTCGTGCAGTGAGTATCCCCTGGCGCTGTCCAGGGGCCGCTCACGGCAGAGAGGTCTTAACGGCCTCTCGACAAGCCCAGGACCAGTGAGGGGGCTCCGGCTTGGGCCCGGTGGGACTGCTGAGTGGGGCAGAGCATGAGATAAACGCTGGAACTGGAGAGGGCATCCACTGCAGCTGCCCCTGGGGACAAGCCCCTCGGGGTACCTGTTGGGGTGCGACTCCCCCTCGGGGCAGCGAGGCCTGTCGTGTGCATTGCATCTCCTAGCATCCCAGCCGTTGCTTCCTGAGGCTCCATGCAGGCCTCATGAGGCAAATTTTAGCCACAATAGGTGATTTCCTGAAGGATCTGCTGAGGCCCGGAGTTGCCGGGCCTCTCTGGGCCTGAGCCGAAACTAGATAAGACGAGTTTTGTTTGGGGCTGGACAGTTTGTCAGGAAATGAGGTAGCGCTTGACAGCGGAACTGGTGTCACCACGGGTTTTTTTTGGGGAAAGCATCCCGGGACGGCCCTCATCAGCGCTTCTGACCACAGCTGAGCGGGCCCAGCTGGGGAGGCCGCATGGCCTTGCCTGGAAGGAAGAGGCTGCCCACTGTGGGCCACGCTCCCGGTGCAGCCGGGGGCATTTGGGGCCGTCTCTCCAAGGAGGAGTGGTCCAGGCTGGAGCTCCGCTCACCTCACGTGGAGTGGGCAGCGGCTGTGCACGCAGCCCCAGGGGCATTTCCACCCTGAGCCGGGACATTGTTGCTCTGACCTGAGGCTGCCTGGGTGGAGCCCGAATTCCAGGACATCCAGCCCAGCGGGAAGCAAACGGACAGGGAAGGAAGGAAGGGGCTGCTGGACCGACAGACTGAGAGATGGGTGGATGGGCGGATGGACGGACAGATGGATAGGTGGACGGGAGGAAGGAGGGAAGGATGATGGAAGGTGGGATGCCAGGCAGCACCAAACTGGTTTTAACTGTGTCGTTTTATAAGGTGCTTCCAATTCTTTTTATTTTGAGAGGAGAAAGGAAGCAACGAAATGAAAGTACATTCTAGAACTCCTTTGATACTGCAGTTCAGCCAGCAGTGTAGAAAGCCTGTTTCTCAGGAAGACTGGGAGGCCAGCCCATCCTGAGAGGCAGGGGCCAAACGGAGCACGAGCCCCACTTGACCCCAGAAGAAGTCCCCACCACCATTCTCTGCCTCCACCACCTGGGTGGCCTCCTGGTTTGTACCTGGGAGACCCTCAAGGGGACCCTCCCAGGCTGTGTCTGCACCCAAGGGTGCCTGTTTCATCTGGCATCACCGAATCAGGTTCTCAGTTCTACCTGACTCTGGGGCTCACCCGGCCCTGTCCCCTGCTTGCTGCATGAATGTCCCCAACCGGAGACTCAAAGTCAGATAGAAGGCGGCATCTCAGCTCTCCTTCCTGACTTTTCCAGCCACCCTTCAGAAGCTATGCACACACACACACACACATGTGCACATTTGTACACATATGCACACTTGCACACACACGCATGCATACACACCCCCATACATGAGCATGCACACACGTGCGCTCGGTCCCAGCTGGGACAAAAGGTC